CATTGTCCTCAGTCACTCAGGGTTTAGGGTTTAGGGAGTCAGGTGGGTAGTTATCAGGTGGGTATCCCTAAAAAAGGCCTATATAGACTTCATATGAGTTACAATCTAAACTCCTAATATCACACTTGATAACAATCCCTAATACTCCCCTATTTCATCCCCTATATAATCCGTATAAGGAGATTCAGACTATGACTCATACAGCCCCATTACTGTACCCCTAGAGGAGCCCGTACTCACCTGGTCCCTAAACCCTAACCCCTCAACCCAAAACCCTAGAGCCAAAACTCAGAACCCCAAAAGCCAGAACCCAAAACTCAGAATCAGAAAGCCAGAACCCAAAACTCATAATCCAAAAGCCAGGACCCAAAACTTAGAATCCCAAAGCCAGAACCCAAAACTCAGAATCCAAACGCCAGAACCCAACCCTAAATCCCAAACCACCTGGGGCCGTGCTGGACTGAGTTTCTGTTTACCTGTCCTGCCACTCCTGCCACCAACGCAGAATGTCGTAGCCTAACCAGCTAACCTGTCACGTAGGACGTAGGATTGAGATTCCCTAAGCCCTAAACCCTACTAATCCCCAGTAAGATGTAGGATTCACAGCCCTAAGCCCTAAACCCCTACTAACCCCAGTAAGATGTAGAATCCAAAGCCCTATGCCTAAACCCCTACTAATGTTCAGTAAGATGTAGGGTTCAAAGCACTACACCCCAAACCCAACCTTCTTCTTGGGACAGCGCCCTGTGCAGGGCTGTCAAGCAGAGTTTGGGGCTTTTGTTGGGGGGGTCATGCTTTGGGGTACCTATGATAACCATTATACTATTTTGCCACCCTGACCCTAAACCCCAAACCCTGACTTATGGAAGCTGCTATCTATGGATTTAGCTAGCTTCTGTGACTGAAGCAGCGTAGGGGTTTGATTTAAATGGGCCGCCAGCTCTCCCAGAGCCCAAAGACCCTAAGCCCTAAATTCCAAAGGATCCAAAAGATGGAACCGAGACCCAGAAAACATGACGACAAGAGGGGTTTCGCAAAGTTGGAGGTACCGTTTTGGAGGTCTAAACCCTAAACCCTTTCAGTATTTTGGGGTCTATATTGGGGTCCCGCTAGTTGTGCAAACTGCCCAACGGGGTGCAAAGCTAGTGTGCACAACACTAGTGTTTTGGAATATGCCTACCTAGCCCCTACACCTAAACCACTATAGTTCCCCTCCTTTCCATTTTATTTTCCGCTTTGTTGTCCTTTTGATTCTCCATTCTTGGTGCAGTATCCCTATATACCTCCCTAAACCCTAAACCTATAACCCTTTTCTCCATCATTGGGGCAATATAAGTACTTATGTCTCGAGCCGAGCTGCATAATTGCCCAGAGGATTCGGATGTGAATCAAAGGGTATGCCCAAGCGACGGCCCACAAGAGTCCTGAGTCCCAGTTGTTAGGGTTTGGGATTTAGGGTTTAGGGTGTATTCTGGTGGCTGAAGCACAAGGATTATATGTACTATAGTCAAAAACTCCTTGAAGGGGGTTTTCTAGGGGAGTATGTAGGGGACTACCAAAGGGGCTATTAAGGGGGATACTAGGAGTTTAGACTATGGCTCCTATGGGGGCGACCAGAAACTTGTGGAAGCTTTTGGGAGTCTCCATGATACAGTAGGGATTGTTTTGCGTTTGAAGGTCTATATTGCGGTCCCCCTATTCATGGCAACTATAATTTCGGCGGCTGAACCAAAATGAAGTGTTCTTATACTTCCACCTGCACTGCTCAGCAGTATGCAAGGAGCCCCATGCTTCTGAATAAACACAAAATCCCTTTACATCATATCAGGGACCACACAACCACCGCTTGAGGCATACTCCTACATGAAATTGTATTGGGTTCTCTCGGTAAATGAGCCGCCAAAAAGGGGGTTCCTGGGGATTGCGGGACAGAGGGCATTTCATTTCCAGGAATCAGGGGTTGAACTAGTTTGAAAGATAGCCTTCACACGGAGCTGGTCTTGGAAGCCTAAACCCTAAACCCCAGGAGGGAGACCACATCCTCCCTTGTTAGCTATGGGCAAAGATGCTTCCAGGAAGTGATCCTTTCCCCCAATACTAAACCCCTCCACCCTTGAAGGGGCATGTAGGGGTTGTTATTGGGGTTTAGGGTCCCCGCATCCCCCTAATGTTAAATACTCCCAATATATCATAATATACCACGATGGGCAAAATCTAAATTTAGTATTTGGGATTGGGGGTGGGGGTGTCTAATGTTAGGGGGAGGGGATTACTGGGGAGGGCATCACAGATCAGTGTGTGGGCATTCGTTTTGCGTTTGCAGATGCGAAACAGCATTGCAAGTGACCAAGCTTCAGAAAATCCATCTTGCATCCGAATCCCCTAGACTCAGAACCCCAAAAGCTACCCCCGCACCCCAAACCCCTGTTCCCAAACAGAAGCCCACAAACTCCGGCAAGAGCCTGCTGCTGCCCGTGCTGCTGCGTCAGTTGGTCTTTCGGAGGTTTGTGAAGCGTGCATATAAAACTAGCTACGAGTACCCAACATTGAAAACCTGCACATAAATGTCGTCTGTGTGTGTATCTCTACGCACAGAGGCGCTGTACCATATAGTTTGGCATCTATAGTCTATAATAAATCCAGTGAACTTGGCACCCGCATCCTGAACCGCATGTATCTGCCCCCTCTCCCTGGGCTTACTCCAGGCACTGGTCCTGAACCCTAAACCCTAGACCTTAAAAACCAAGCCTGAACCCTAAACCCGGAAACCCAAATCCTAAACCCTACCCAAAGCCCAAGCCCTAAGCCCTCAACACTAAGCCTGAACCCTAAACCCTAAACCCCAAACCCTGAACCCTAAACCCTAAACCCCAAACCCTCAACCCCAAACCCTGAACCCTAGACCCTACACCCTAAACCCTAACCCTAAACCCCAAACCCCAAACCCCTCAACCCCAAACCCCAAACCCCTCAACCCCAAACCCCAAACCCCCTTAAACGCCAAGGCGCTGGTCCGGCGCCGATTGCAAAAGAGGCAGAACAATTCTCTGCTCCTGCTTTGGCATCTTTGCACCTGGTAACTGCCATAGATCCAGAGTTTCTTACGCTTCAAAGGGATTTATAGGGGGATAGATAGGGTTGATATAGGGTTTATATAGGCCTTATATGGGGATACTGGAAAAGAAAATGGAAGCTACTGTTTAAGGTTTAGGGTTTAGACTTGGGTAATGCCCCCCCCCCCCCAGTAACAGTCTATATTAAGGGTCATATTAAGGGCTATATATAACTATATTAGAATTATTATCCAACTGTTACTGAGGGGAGGCAGTACTGGAGTTTAGACTATGGCTAATTTGTTTTAAGGGTTTAGGTTTTGGGGAATTAGGGTTCAGGGTATAGGATTTAGGATGTGGGGTTTAGGGTTTTAAATTCTAAGGGCCCTTCTTTGGGAGTCCTCTAGGAATAGGTTATCTCTGGGTGCATATTTAGCGACCCCGGTAGTTGCAAACCCTCATCTCTATGAACCTGCATGCACATACGCAAATACATAGAGCTATCCACATCCATGACCACATCCTTCCATCCGCCCACTTAGGCGAACCTTTTGCATCTCTCACCCAATGTATGAAAATCGTCCCCCTAGGTAGACAGAATATGGAATTCCCCACGAGCACAATACACCATATTCTACCGATTCAGACATACATATGTGTGTATATATATATAAAAGTGTGCCCATATGTAAATATGTGTATATATATATAGCGACATGTGCACGTTTCTGCAGGGCATTGCCTAAGTTGGAAACTGCGCAGAGCACATGCGGATTAAAGCAGAGGTAGGACAAGAGGAAATTGGGTTTAGGGGAATCATAGCTTCGGAAGGTCCAAGCCCCTATCACGTGTTCTGTGGCTTCTTACGACAACTCCATGTAGTAGGGTTTAATTAGGGTTTAAATATCTCTAAGTTCTGGTTCCCTTGTGAGGGGTCCCCACAACGTGGCTATAGCCTTTCGGGGCTCGTGTGGAGTGCTTCTGTTAAGAACTTTCCATGTGCCCTCGCCTGCTAAGGTGAGCTGCCATGTCGAAACGCTGAGCAGAAGCGATGCGACTGATGACTTCAGCATCATTGCTGTCGTGTGTTTCTTCTACGTGCTTATACTGAGACTGTTGCTATCTGATCCACTCGTGCTGAGTACTGATCTTATGCAAATCGCCGGCTTCCATCAGTATCCCGTCCCGTTTACACAGGTCGAACAGCAAAACTGATGAGATCCTGACTCTAGAGGTCAGATATAGTAAGCACTTTTGATTACACAAACTCTTGAAACGCCTGCCTGCAGCCCTTGCAGAGGTTTGCCGTAGATGGGGAACTGATGCTGAATGCAGGTATGGTTGCCTTGTCTGATTCTCCAACGCAATCCCTACCTCTGCACCTCCCCCTAGATATGTAGTTTGCAACATGAGTGGGGCACATCGACACCGCAATTGTCAAAACCTGGTCTCAAGCCGAAACAGCTGCGGCATCGGCAAAGCGGGTGGTTCCCGAACTGTCAGGGCTTCCTTTTAGAAATTACATGGCGTAGACATACAGTGTGCATTTGTGCGTATATGCATATATATATATGTATCTATAGGTGTTTTGTCTGGTCTGCAGCACAGGCATACAAACGTTGATAAGACTTAGCCGAGTTGCAGCCCAAGTACTCAGGCGGTTTCTAACTAGGCCCACCCCTTCAGAAGTCTTAAATTAGTACTCCTAGTTCTAGTCTATTATAGGCAGATACCCCGTAGTCAACGCTCCCTCTATTAAAGAATACCCCCCCAATCTAAATACTGTCATAAGGGGTTGGGAACTGCTTTTTTGGAAGAAAGAGGGGAAGGAGGTTGAGGGTTTAGGGTTACGGTAGTTTCCCAAAATTGGGGGTACCATTTTGGGATTAGTGTGATTTCAAGAAACCCTAAACCCTAAACCCATACAGGGCACAGCGAAAGGCAAGCCTCTTCCGCAAATCCGTGCGGCACAGGCAAGCCTCAAGAGCTCACGAATTGAGATATGGGGGTTTCCCAAAATTAGGGGTACCATTTTAGGGGTCCCCATCATAAGGATCATAGTATGTTAGGGTCTATATTGGGGTCCCCTCATTTAGGGAAACTACCATATATGGGCTATAGTGTAAACTCCTTAAATGGGGTCTATATAGGGGCTAATATAGGGGATTACTAGAGGGGACATTAAGGGGGATACTAGGAGTTTAGACTGTGGCTCATATGGGCTTTAGGGTTCAGCGTTTAGGGTACCCCAGTTAGGGAGATTCCCAGGTGAGGAATTTCCAGATAGCTTGCAAATTCCTTAGACCCAGTGTCGAGGGTTTAGGGTTGTTTGTTATAGTACGGGTTGTATTTGTATTGGCGGGTTATAAAGGAAGGCTCAAAATGCGTAGTAGAAAGATCAGATAGGAAGGCACGCTGTGAAACAGTCTTGATAGACAGCAATCCTAGAGGGTCCAGGTCTACATTGTGCCTACCTTCCACAACGCAAACTTCGTACTCACCTCACCCAAATAGTGTATCCCCATCCGCCGTAGTAGTACCCTCCAACATATAGTTAGTGTGACACTATATGGAGGGGTGCGGCTATAAAAACGACATTCCCCCAAATATGGTGTCATGACATATCAGGGGAAGGATTCATTATCAAGGTGAGGGGTTGTGGGAGATTCCCTAAACCCTAAATCTCAAACGTTAACCCCTAACCCCTAAATCTGAACCCAAAACTGCATTTTTGCTGGGAAGAGAATTACCTGAAGATTCCGCTTCCTTCAGCTTCATCTTGGAAACAGCAAAATGGTAGGATCCATAAATGGCGTGGGCCCAATGTAGAACCCTCAAAATGTTCTGAATGTGTCTACATATATACAGATATACTTTTGCATACATGTACATACATATGTATACATATATACATATATCAACACATGTATCTCTCTCTCTTTCGCTATGGGAGTTTCCAGAAAGTAAGGGCCCCCTACGGACCCAATGTATTGCATACAATGCTCATTACAGGTGCCCCCCCAAGAATGGGCGCCCAAGTTCTGGATCCCCCCCAAGTACCAACAAGCAAACCCAGAAAGATGCTATGTCAGACTAAACACGCTGGATCACTCTAGTAAGTAGAGCTCATGTGTGCAGGGACAGCGACTGGGTCCATTTTGGAAGATTCTCGTAGGGTTTAGGGTTATTTAGGGTTTGGGGCTTAGGGTTTTAGACTTTAGACACTCGACATTCTCACTGGCTTTCAAGCTTCCGACTCGGAAGGTCCGGGGTGAAGCAAACGCTGCCTAAGCTACACAGATTAAGGGCTTGAAAGTTGTAACCTGGGCGTTTTGGGTTTCGGATTCAGGGTTTAGAGTGCAGGGTGTAGGGGAGTTTTGGGTTTGGGGGTTTAGAAGCTTCCGGTCTAGGGCTGAGGGTTGAGGGTTCAAGACTTTGAGGTTTGTGGCTTTAAAGCTGTGCCTCAGGGTTCATTGATCCTTTCCAGGAAGCCTGAAAAGAGAACAAATCTATTGGTTCATGACATGTATGGCCTATCTTGCGAACCTCCGTGTCCCTTTTTTGAAAATTTCGTGTACTAAGGACTATAGTAGTTGGGGGCCTATATTTGGGTTTCATATTGTGATGACAACCCAATTTTGGGACGTCCATATGATAGTTTCCATTCATAGGGGAACCTCAATATATAGACCCCAATATACTATAATCCTTGTTATGGGAACCACCCAAAAGGAACGGCTAAACCCTAGATCCGAAACCTAAGCCCTAGACCCTAAAACCATTCGGGGTCCGAAACCTTTCTTGAACAGGCTGTTGGGTAAGGTCTTTTTTCAAAAAATATGTTGTGATGCTTCTACAGCTTGTTGGGGGCCTTTGTTTGGATCTAGGGTTGAGCGTTTAGGGTTGAGGGTTTGGGGGGGTTCGAACGTTTGGTTAGGTTCCCCTAAACCCGAGACCCTAAACCCTAAACGTGTATTCCCGTCCTAATTTCTCTGTGGGCTGTTAGGTCTTTTTGTCCCGCGTCGTTACCTGCTTTTGGACATGAACTTGTGGGCCCTAAAACCACAACATGGGGGTTTCCCAAAATTACGGGTACCTTTTTGGGGGTCCCCATAATAATTAAGGACTCTAGTATATTTGGGTCTATATTGGGGTCCCCTTATTTTGGGAAACTACCACATCAAAATCTTAATAACCCCCATAGTAGTCCCCTATACAACCCCTT